GTCACAAAATGAGGGATGCTATTGACCCCATAACCTTGAAGGACATAGATGATTGTAGTGAGTGGTTCATTGGTGAAGAATGCTCCGAGGAGACAATTCATGATCTCACAGTGGGTGATATTTCTAGAGCATCAGGAGCAGAAGAGCCTATCTACTATACTCGTAGGGTAGCACCTAGTGGCACCACCGGCACGAGTAGCTCAACACCACAACCACAACCACAACCAAGAAGAGCTACTAACATTCGAGAAGTTATTCATGAGGAGTTTGAAGAAGTTGAGGAAGATGATTATGGAGAAGAGACTGAATTTGTTGGTGCTAGCAATGAGTTGGATCACTTGGATGATGGTGGCTTGGATTTGACGGATGAGGATTATGATTAAATATCTTGCTTTCTTTTTAAGAACTAAATTTTGATTTTTGTTTTAACTTTTACCAATAACTCATGCTTTACTTTGATAATTATGTTTGATACAAAGTTAAGACTAAAAGTTTAGATTTAAACCATATATATATATATATATATATATTTATTTATATATATATTTATATATATATATATTTATTTATTTATATAATGTTCGCCATTTGACCGCCCGCCGCTCGCCACGCTTCTCGCCATAAAAAAGAGCCTCTCGCCTGCCACTCGCCATTCGCCATTCACAACTATGGTATCAATTCGGGTTGTATTGATTTGGGTTTATATAGATTTGAGTTTATATCGGTTTAAATTTATATTAGTTCAAGTATAATGTAAACACATACATACTAATAAATGAAATAAATCACATAATAAATTTAGTTAATTTAGTTAACTATAATTTTTATATACTTTCTATAAAAATACAAAAGTATTTTAACTTAAGTTATAAAATGCAAAGTAAAAGATTTGTACATGAAAGTAGTTACATGGTTTGCACCCATAATTTAAATATGTTTTTTTAGAAACACATCAACATATGTAAAAATATATAGGTAATTCATTTTCTCCAAATTCATTTGATAAATGAAATATTAATGAATTTGATCAATTTC